GATTCATCTCCTGGGCTGTCATGTATACATTGTCAGGAGCAATCTCTCGGGTTGCGCCCCCCTCTTGGTAATTTGGTAAATGAGTAGTAGAGGCAATTTTAGCAGCTGATTTCAAGACGAGAAAATCTTCATCCGGGAGCCAGGTTCTCCAGAGTGTATCATTGAAAGGTGTCAACTTTTGGCCCCCAACGTTAATCCTATGGACAGTTTCTAGGACTTGTGAGGAAATATTCTGAGTAAACTCTTCAACTCCATTAGGGACAATAAACTTAGTCGGGCCATCAACAAAGAAATTTTTAGGGGCTGAAAACACTTCAATGGCACTAACAAATGCTAAATTCGAGTCGGGGGTTGGGACAAAGGAAATTTCCAGCTCAACTTTATCTACCATCAAAATGAATTCCTTAAGCACAGAGAACCCAGCAGCAAAATTGCTCAACAATGAAACACCATTAGCAGAGACGCTGAAATTCGAGACTTTGAGATCATACTTCTGAGAAGTGAATGGGAAGAAATGGAGACGTACCAAGTGGGTCCCAATTTTGTTAATGTTGAACTTGTAGCTTGAAGCAGTGGTGAAGGCTCTAGCTGTACTGTAGAGAGGAGATGAGTTCGAGGGATGGGTTGGATTTGTCAGGGAAATGGATTTACCTTCAGAAAGTAGAGCTGATCCGGGAATCGATAAATCGCCAATGAAGACTCTGTTATCAATTGTGGTGTTTGTGCTTGAGCCACAGTCAATCAAGTAGTTGTCTGGAGGCGTAAAAGCTGCGGAAAGTCGGATGACACAGAGAGCAAAAGAAAGCAGGACAAGGACTCTCCTTGCCATGGATGGTAACAGTTGGAGTCCCTGAAGTGGAATTCAAGAATTTACGGGAGAATTAAACGCAGAAAGAGAAGCACATTGCTGAACAAGAATTATGTGTTCTCCAGGAAAGAGACACAAGATGTGAAACTCTAGAAGAAATCCAATTCCTGGGTTTTATACTTTTACAGAGGGGTGGAGGGTGATGCTCAAGAATCGGACTAAGAAAGTTGAAACCTTGGTGGGTTCTGGAGGAGCACGCAAGTTCCAAGCTTAATTTTTGTTCCTTATGGGATAGGGATATATCATATATGGAGAGTACGCTAACACACAAGAAAGGTTTCTGATTTTCTGAGAAGCTTTAATAAAGAAAGACAAAGGAAGCAAAAAAGCTGGGCAACAGCAGCTAGCTTTGACTTGTAAGCTAGCAGAAGCAGCACCGAAATTTAGCACTACTGCAGTGCATGTGACGATCGAAGAGACGGGCATTGAAGATGGCCGTCGAAAAATTTTACTATAAGGAAGTTACTGCTACTAGTAATTGCCACTGCTGCAGCTGCAGTTTTGTTGTTAATTACTGCTCCTACCACTTAAAATTTTCTATTTACTTGGATGGCAACGGCAACGGGGCTCCAATTTCTGGTCTTTGGTATGGGTTGGGAATCAGGATGAACGCATTAAGTGGGACCTTAATGTCCCCATGGATTGGCATTGGATTCAAGGAACAACCAACCAGCCAACACAATCACAGCACACACTGCAAATCATTAATACTGCGACTACACGCTTAATTCTCAGTAACAAATAGACTTGGAATAAAGATGCGCCAAACTTTTCTAGTCTTCTTATCGGGTTTCTTCTGCATTTTAGTCAATCAGTTGCTATCCATCTAGCTGTTTCTGTTGGTGGTACTGGTAAAAAGTTCGCCTTACCAGTACCAACAACAGTACCACCAACAGTAATGGAGTAGTAATCTTATGCTTCTTGCTACTCGAGTATGCATTTGGAAACTCGGAGCAAGTTGAACTGAGAGATTAGTACTATACATGAGGTCTCTAAAGAAAAATTGCTCCTCCTAGTCATTAGGCCAACTCCAAGTCCAGGCCAGGGTGGTCTTCTCTAGCACAATTGGAAAGTTGGTGAGAGTTGAACCGGGGGTTACAACACAACTGAATCCCCTCCTGCCATTATTGACACCAGGGAACTCTTTAGAGATTATTGAGTTACGCACGCGAGATGTACGAAAGTTTTAGTTCAGAGATGACATTTCTTCAAGTTATATTGAAGCGGTTTGGTCCAATAATAAAATCCCAGACTCTGCCAAATTATGATGGTTCTTCTCCATCCAGTCCTCAACGATGCAACGCTAATTAGTCCTCCTGTAAACATGGAACGTACAGAGGATCATTGCCGTAAACCCGGCACTCTTATGTATCACCATCATCATCATTATTATTAAAGAAATTTCTTGGCGACTCAATGAAACGCCGAATATAGTCGGCGATAATGGTAATAAATAAAAATGCAAGTAGCAGTTGTGGGACCTTCTGGGTTCGGTGCTGGTATGTGCATATATCACAATGGTCCTCTCCAGTCTCCAGTCTCCAGTCTCCACCACCAGAAAGTTAAATGAATCCAAAGTGGCATTAGTGCTTGCCAGCAAACCAGCAATCAACTTAGCAGTAACATATTGATCTTTTTATTTTTATTTTTTTCTTACGGAGTGGGTATCCGGGCCATTGGTCCGACTAATTCCACTCCGGCTCGAGAGAGGAGATCTCATCCCACTCCGAGCACGGTAGTAAGGGGACTCGAACCCTGGTTGTCCAGGTAAATCTACCATATCCTAAAGAGGGGGAGCTGATCGCTCGAGCTAACCCTTAGAGACAGTAACATATTGATCTCGTTTTGTGAGGAAACATGCTTAATCCAACAATGCACTGTACACTCGTGTCGTATGTATGCCTATGTATGCCATAGGTTCATTTGACCACTTAACTCTACTCAAAACTCTTCTTCTTGTTCGGTAAAAGGGCACTGGAAGTAAGTAAAAGGTCGATAATCTTGCTTAGCCTCTCCGTCTGACAAGAAGCAAAGCAAAAAGATCGGTAAAATTTATTTATTAGTTTTTGGTCGGGGTGGGGAAGAATGGCAGTTTTTGGTCGAAGTTTTGAGTTTTACAGTTGGAACTTTGGTAAGAGTTAAATCTTGTGCTAAGTTAGCAAAAGATGTTATGATTAAACTAGTACTCCATCCGCCTCATTCCGGTAGGTTTAACAATTTACATTAAATAATAGCATTATAGAAAAGTCACAATTTAGCTATATTTTTCAATTGATAAGTGAACTGTACTATGAGATGGATGAAAAAAAAATATAAATCTATTAAAATGGAACGGGGAGTGAATAGTATGTATATTGGATGATCGTGACAAAATCAATTGTACGCGGCAGGCATTCAAATTCTTTTTTTTTTTTTTTTTCAAACGAATTCATTGTATCTGCTTACCTTCAAATTCATTGTATCTACTTACCTTCTCTAAGTATACGTCCAATAAATTTTATTTCTTTGTGGAATCGTGCTAAACTTAGATTGACAACCTGATGATTGTTTGGAATGGAAGAGTTAATATTAATTTTCTTTTAATCAAAGCCGTGGACGAGTACTAGTTGTAACGATTACGTGGTAGTAGAATTTTCATCCGCAGTCGGTGTACTTTTGATGTATGTGGGTCCTTGCACAAGGAGAATAGCCAAACAGAGTGAAATAATATGGGCTGGGATGAATTTGGCGAGACGAGCAGTTACTTTTAATGGGCTGGCCAGTTCAATGCTGTAGTGTAATACAGAACATTGATTGTGCTCTCAAGTAAGGCCCGTTCAGTGCTGCAATAGCGAACTAATGGCCTAGGCTTTCATTTTACAAGTCGAGAAGCATATAGTGGGCTCACACCCGAGAAAAAAATTGTTGGGCAAGAGCTTCAGTCAGTGGATTGCTTCGCACATGAGCAGCTGTGTACAATCCAACCGTCCTCGTCGACCCAAAATCCAAGTCAGTTGAATGACCCAACAAATATGTCGTCTTTGCCTTGTACAGTTATTTATTTGTTTCCGGCGGGAGGTCTTGCACTCGCTCTCCTCTCCTACTGTTTGGGAACCAGCAGAAGCGTAGCTAGATCTTTATCCCCTCCGGTTCTAACCTAGAACCTCGTACTAGTATTAAATTTATCCAGGTGAATTTCTTTGTCCTAAAACTCTCTCTGGGTTCATGTTTATTGTCCCGAATTACTTCTATCTTTAGGGTTTCGAATTCGGACTCAGTGTCTAACGTGCCTTCTTATTGAAAATTCTTGTTTTGCCTCTTCTTTTAATTTTCGTTTTTGGCCGTGATTTAAAATTATTGTTGAACGTTATATTTGATTGTGTTATAGTTGCTCACTTACTTGTAAAAATCCCAAATTCTTTTGATGGATGAATTCTATGTGGTCTACCAATATTATATCGTAGAGTGGAGAAAGGAAAGATTTCCATTCTTACACAAGTGGGTTCAAAGAGTGGCAGATTTTGTGAATATTAGATCCTTGATTTATGAGCAATGTAGGTGTCGTGAGAAGTTGGGGCTTTCGGACCCATTACTAGTGAAAACAGGAGATGCTATTTTGACGTTGGCTTCAGAGTTACTAGATTAAATGACACAGAAACATGAAAGGTACGGTATGTACTGATTTTACTGGAATCTTGATCCGGTGTCTTCCGGTGCATAGAGCAGTTTATAAGTTTCTTGACTTCACCTGTGATTAACCTTCCTTTTTCCTCTGTTATGTAGTGGACACGTTTTTGTCTTGCAAACATGTGATAATTGGTGCATGTTTTTTTTTTTTTAAATTCTTTATAATTTTTCTGTGTAGAGAGACTACACACTTTGCTTTGGCAACTTGCTGGGAGCATGTGCTTGTTTTCTGCTTCTTTATCATTTTTTCTGCATCGTTGTCTGGTGGAGAAAATAAACAGACTGCTTTGACAACATACCTTGCTTCTACAAGGAGCAACTCTTCTAGTTTATGTGTTGATTGTAACTTCTATTTAACTTCATTTATCTGGTGTATGCAGGCTACTGTTGACTGCAATACACGGGAGTAACTGGACTGAATCATCAATTTTGCCGTCAGTTTCCCGCCAGCAGTTTCATGGTACTTCCATTGTCATGTGGCTGACTATGTGTATATCTAAGGGCCCTTAGTTCCTCTTTCAACTACATAAAAAGGGTGTAGTTTTATCTGGGTTGTGGATTCTCGGTGCAACTGCTGAATCAGGATTCCTTCATACATCCATTTAACTTGGGAAAATTTTTTGTTAGTCGTTTTTTACATGAACAATCCATTAAAGGATCAAAGTTGGAGCTTCCTAAAAATGGTTCCTTTGAGGACTCGGCTATCTATACTTTTTCTTTTTCAGGCATACATAAATGTTTTAGTAGTCTGGCTATCTAAGTTTCTAATGTGCTATTTTCTAAAGTGGTCTGTTTTGATCTTGATTTCTGATATTTTGTTTAACATTCTCTGCTGGTTGTTACTTTGATGCATTTATCATCTAAACTTGACGAACTTTAAATTGCTTCTGTCTGCTATAAAATTGAGAAGTACTGATTCAATTTCTGCTACTGATTTGGGAACTCTTCGGGGTATATGACTAGTCAATGCTGAAGATTGGCTTATTGGTTCATGCAGCATTTTGCTCCTTACAGAATTGCTATGCTTGTGAATTGCAGGACCTTGGGCATAGTTTTGATGACAAGTGTGAAAGCAGACTTTACATTGGCAATCTCGACTTAAGGATAACTGAGTAATGAAATATTTTTGCACCTATCTCCTTTCTTAGATTTCCATACTCAGGATAGAATTTTGCTTACAACCTCTTGTTTTTCAGGGCAGCTCTTATTAAGATGTTCTCTCCATTTGGAAAGATAGTATCTGAAGACTTTCTGTGGCACACAAGAGGCCCTAAACGTGGAGAGCCACGTGGATATGCTTTCGTTCAGTTCAACACGAAAGAGGTAAGATTGATCATTCTCGTGTGTTTTTAATAGAAATACTTGATTTCTGTTTCTCAGTTCAGCACGGTCAGTATGTTCTCTCTCAGTACAATTCCTAATTTTTGCTTTTAAAGTGAGCATGCAGGAAGCTAAATTGGCCAAAGAGAAGATGCACGGGAAGTTGGTTTGTGGTCGGCCTTTGGTTGTTCGCCTTGCTAGTGAGAAATACTTGATGGATGCAGCAAGTAATTCACCTAATGCAATTGGGGACTCAAGCAAATCAAGCCTCGCTGGTAGCAGTTCAGGACAAGTGAATCGAAGTGCAAAAATAGCTGCAATAAAGAACAAATTGAAGGCCATGGAAGAGGAGGGCGGGAACCCAAAGAAACAGAAACAAGCCGATAGCATATCTTGCACGGAGTAGATGGAGAATCCTTCATCTGTTAAAAGATAATGGACAGAGAAATCCAACAATTCTGGCTGATTAATGTATAAGCTATTTGGGTTCCTTTTGAAGTCAACAATTGTAGGAGATGATGGCAATATAGTTTTCTGGAGACAGGTAGAAATTTCGTTTTGTGGGTTAAGTCCTTTGGAAAGGTAGACAACATAGTCAACATTATATGGTTTGTATGTATTAACTTTTAGTTCTGACAGGAATGTAACTCAGTATTGGAATCCCCTTTGTTTTACGCAATTCAGAGACTATGCCAAGTAACAACTAACAACTGACAATATTGTCATCTGGTTGCTGACACTTTTTACATTCCTTTGTCATCTGGTTACTGTCTCAGTATTTCCACCCAAAGCAAAGGAAACTTAAAAATTCTTTGCAGCTTTGTGGTGGTTGGAATTTGGAAGTCTGGTTCTATGCTCATGGAAAGCTCCGACGCCCAAGTGTCCAACTGGGGATCAGAAGGGCGAGCGTTGACTATTTTACGGTGGACCGGAACACAAGTGCATCCTGTGGACTTGTTGACTATTGACGAGTGAACTCTTTTAAATCTGAAGTCATGGTAGAATAGTAGTAGTTGTCCTAAATACACGACTGAGTAGCGTAGAAATTAGCATCTAACACAATATAGACATATTAATACCAGGATGCAAAAATTACAACAAAAATTTTTACAATCAGTAACTTATTTTCTTTTTATTCGTGTGTCACACATCAATCTCATTTACTAAATTCTACCAAAAAAAATCCCATTTACTAAAATTTTTTTTAAATTCACCTCATTTTGACCATCAATTATATGGTAACAAATAGTAAGACGTGTCTGCAATTAAAGCACTACGTAATATATATCACTGTTTATTGCTCTTAGGATTGCGGCGAATCCCTTCACTAGGAGAGGTTCCTTCGTATTTCTGGCTCTTTAACAACACCACCTGTGGTTTATTCTTACCAAGCCCAAAAGATACTGGGATCTGCCGTAAATGGCGTCGCAACAGGGGTTGCTGCTGTCAACTCCGGTTCTTCAACGGTGGTCATGTCTCGGTTCCCGCCAAAACATTTCCACCATTTCCTCCGCCTACTCAGGAATTGCTAACCCAGCACCTCAGCTACCCAAGTCCCACTCACGCTTCCCGGGAAATCATCAGAAATCCTTGTTCTTCCCCCTCTATTCACCCGGATTGAATCGTCATGTAGCACCTAATTCTATCAGATCGCAGTTGAGTTATCCGATCATTTCTCCACAAGATCACTGGGGCACTTGGACTGCTCTTTTGGCCACCGGCGCTTTCGGTATCTGGTAAGTCATAATATTCTATCCGCATTTTCCCATCAAAAAATTACCGTTATTTTTGGTCTCAGTTGAGGGAATGATCATTATTTGTAATGCTGAGTCAAGGTCAGAGAGGACCAAGATTGGAAGTACATTGAGTGGTGCGCTGGTGAGTATATTAGTTGGTTTAGCCGCCAGCAATTTGGGAATCATACCTTGCGATGCGCCCGCATATAAAATCGTTTTGCAAATCTTGCTGCCAATGGCAGTTCCCTTGCTGTTGTTCAGAGCGGATTTGCGTCGGGTAATACAGTCCACTGGGACACTGCTTCTGGCTTTCTTGCTTGGATCAGGTAGAAAACGATCCCGGAATTCCCTTAAAGCTTCAATCTTGTGTTGGCACTATGTGAGTTGAAAATTTTTTAGAATGTGTTTATCCCAAAAAAAAAAAAAAAGGTAGATTTAAATCCAAGTTTGCTGGAGGGTTGATAAGTGATACAGAACTGAAATGTAATCATCATGCTCTCAACTTTACGTATCTACTTAGATAACCATGTTGTACTGCAACATGCTGTGCATTCAGTTCAAGTTCATCCTAATAGATACTTATAAACAGCACTGGACTGTAAAGAATTTATGAAAAAATTGAATAGAGTCTTTGGTTGGCCTTAGAATTTTCTAAGTCTTTGCAGTAGGGGCAATCCATCTCAGAGCAACTTGGGATAAAATTTTTGATACTTTTTACCCTTTCTAAAAAATTTGTGGTCACCACTTACCATGTTAAAACCTGAACTTATGTGGCATCTTTTAAATTTTCAAGACCCTCGATAGTTTTTGCTTTCTTCTGTGGTTGTATCGCAGTTGCAACGACTCTTGGAACTGCTGTGGCATTCCTTTTGGTGCCAATGCGATCATTGGGTCAAGATGGTTGGAAGATAGCTGCTGCACTAATGGGAAGACATATTGGTGGAGGTAACCTAAGACGACATTGACTGCGTCATGTTTTTACCTTTCTTTGAAACTTCACTGCATAGTCATTCTGATGACCACATTAGATTTTTACTGGACATATTTCTGTCACTCCACATTCCCTTAATCATGCAATGGGTTATTTTCAGTTTGATGCTAGGTTTGACGTCAAATCAGGCTATTGGAATGCAAAAGGGAGCTTCTTTTATTTTCACTCAATTGTTAAGTATTTTATGGCTTTTCTTATGCTAAGAAAGAGGGTGCCAACAAATGCTTGCTTCCTTTATACTAGCTTTCCTCTAGACAAATTTCTGTCACTCCATACTATCTTAATTATGCAATGGGTTATTTTCCATTTGGTGCTAAGTTTGACGTCAAATCAGGATATTGGAATGCATAAGGGATCTTCTTTTATTTTCACTCAATTGTGAAGTATTTTATGGATTTTCTAATGCTAAAAAAGATGGTGCCAACAAATGTTTGCTTCCCTTAAACTAGCTTTCTTCTACTGTATGAAGCTTTTCTGGCTTCATTTGCATTGAATGACAAATTTTAATTTGAATGGTGTAAGATTTCAGGTCAATAAGAGTCTCAGTGGTGCTTCCTCTTTTAATTGACGCTGTGGATTGTTTATGTTCCCATTCAGCTGTGTTTGCAAGATGAATTGGTTTGCTCTTCTTATAACCATATTGATAGAGCTTCTTTTTTTTTTTTCCCTTTTATTTAGCTGTCAACTATGTGGCGATTTCTGAAGCCTTAGGAGTCACGCCTTCTGTCTTAGCTGCTGGACTAGCTGCAGATAATGTTATTTGTGCCATATATTTTACAACATTGTTTGCATTGGCATCTGGAATACCTCCTGAGGCTTCAACAGCAACTGCTGGTTCGGTCCAATTTCTCGAGTCATCATATGGTTAATTTTAGTTTTTTCATTCTAATTAAATTGTGATTGCTGATCGAGATTCTTTGAAAAGAAATCTTGTACATCGGGGTTTTCAACTTTTTATTATTATTGTTATTTTTTTTTTTGTTTGACAAAAGGTCAAGCCAGTCATTTGTTCTTCAATTTTACCTCTATTTATTTATCTGTAGAAAATTTTGTGAGTTTGTGCGACATAAAGGCATCAACCATGTTAAGTAAGGCTATTGCAACTGCGCTGCATCTGACCACACTGAACTTTTATAGATGCTGATGCTGGATATGATATATCAGAATCTGGAAATAAACTGCCTGTACTGCCAACTGCTACAGCCCTAGCTGTATCCTTTGCCATTTGCAAAGCTGGCAGTTCTTTTGCAAAGTATTTTGGAATCTCAGGAGGTAGCCTTCCAGCCATTACTGCAATAGTTGTAATTCTGGCAACTGTATTTCCAAGGTTATTTGCTCATCTAGCACCATCTGGCGAGGCTATGGCACTGATTCTCATGCAGGTGATTTTTTTTTTCATATGCGCGTGGGTCCTTCTGTTACAGATTATAATCGCTGCTTCCTATGTTCTTCTTGTATTGAACCTAAATTTGTACTTGGATCAAGTTCCTTAAACATAAATTTTATTAATGACACTTTATTTTGGGCCTCTGCCACACACTTTTTTTTGATACTATTAATTCATCGTTCATGCTCTCTTGAGCTTGCAACATAGTTCACGTAGCGTTGTTGCATTGCCCAAACTTCTATTAAGACTGTTAAGACTCTTACTGGTCACAGTAGAGAAGCTAGATCAACTAAGCAGTTTTTGGTAGCGTTCAACCTGTAGTTTTTTGGATACCTGGGATGAGAATAGACAAGATGTATATTGTGCCAAAAAAGGACCAGTTGTGCTAAAATATCGAATGACTAGGTTCGGGGATAAGCTCCTTAGACATGTAGGAAGATGTTTTGTGATAGGTTGAAACTCCATAAGAGAAAATGCTAATGGCACTTGGCCATCTTTAGGCACAAGCCACTATTGAAAAATGTTGTGGTCGCTATATTAATTTTCTGCTTTGCAGCTTCAGCTTGTGTTTCAATTCCCTGGTTAACTCAAACTGCTAAAGTTTTTTGAGTAGAAATTACTATATTTGTGAGCTTACTGTGGGTAGAATGACTTGTTTACATTCGTTTTCTTGTTGGAGATGACAGGTATTTTTCACAGTGGTGGGAGCAAGTGGTAGCATGTGGAATGTGATCAATACAGCACCAAGTATTTTGTTGTTTGCCCTAGTTCAGATAGCTGTTCATCTTGCTGTGATTCTTGGTCTGGGAAAGCTCTTCCGCTTTGACCTCAAGTTGCTGCTTTTGGCATCTAATGCGAACGTAGGTGGCCCCACAACCGCTTGTGGAATGGCCACTGCCAAAGGATGGAGCTCTTTGGTTGTTCCCGGTATTCTTGCTGGCATTTTTGGCATTGCCATTGCCACTTTCGTTGGTATTGCTTTTGGGTTGACTGTGCTCAGATTTATGTAGTTACCTGACTGGCGGATCAGTCTGGCTTGTAATTTGAACTTTTTTTTTTTTTTTTTGGCTTTTGGGGTTCCATTTTATTTAACCTTTTGCATCCTTCTGTTCAACTTATGATCGCCCTGGTTTTAACGAGACAGAAAGCTGCTTGATTGATCGTTGCAACTAGACACGAGCACAACCGAACTTTTAGATGCATCCTCTGAAGAAGAATCAATAATAACAGGTTCCGCTTGAACTGCATTATCTGGGGAGTTTCTTCTAATGTAGTAGCAGTAGCATTTTGGATTGCATTTGGTCTTCCACCCTTATATTAAGCTCTAATAACATCCAAGTAGCCAGCAATGCGTCATATCTACTCTGCAACTTTTCCTACAACCCCATCATTCATTTTCAAGAGATACGCGGTAGTACTTACGCCATGAGTATAAATTATAAGATTTGCTTGATTTTCCTGCGTCCTTCAATAAACTCTTTTTAACTGCAAACACAAACCTTGAAATATACAGAAAAAAAAAAAGGTGCCAGTGATCTTTACAAACTGTTTAAAGCGAATTAGTCGCAAGAAATTAAGTAATTCCATTCCATACTGTTATAGATGGAGTGAATATTCATTATATTTTGTCATAACTAAAGTTGCAGAAGTGGTGGCTGCTAGTGCCAGAGAGGGTGTTCTTCCTACACTGAATCTGGGATTCTCCATTTTGATTCTTGAAGCAGCAGGGTCATTCTTGAAGTACCTCCTTTGGATTTTTTTCATTACAGGTAGAAAGCCTCTTTAGGCGAGCAGGTATAAAAATTTATCCTAATCCAGAGAAAGGGAAGCCTCTTTAGACTAATAAATATAAACATCTGACTAGATTAAAAAGATGTACCGACACCTTTTTTGAATTTTTTTCATTGCATTGCAGGTGAGTTTCGAATCTCGACTTCCAATCTAAAGAGGTTTTGTGGCCACCGAGCCAAAGAGTGGTTTTTCCATCCATGTATTCTTAGGGATGTCAGAAATGCACAGCGATGGACTCGGGGCAGGGACGGTTGCAGACAAATTTCCTCTTCATCAACAGCGCGTAACTTCTTTTGTTCATCGTGTAATTTTTTTTTCACAGGTTGTATTTTCACAACAGATAGTGGTGGGCCCCACACTTGGCGCGGAAATCGAGTTACCACTTGTTATCTGAGCCGCACATTTTTTTGAAGTCCAATCTGGACCATGAACCGTGCAGGGACGGTCATACTGCCCCAAATCCCACAGCGATAGACTTCTAATAGATGGGGTGGGGCCACAAAAGAACGCTTTAGAAAATCCATCTTGGGCTTGAAAGTCTGTCGGCCCAACTTGGAAGGCTTCCATAATTGGACTCGACGGGTGCTAATTGGAGGATGGTGCTCTTCCTCATGTAACAATTTGCCACGTCTCTCCATTTTCCATCCATCATCAGCCGGCATCCTTCTCCAATAGGAATCCCATAAATCTCCTCCTGCTGCTGCCAATGAAGGAGGCGACAAGACTGTCTAAACTTCGAAAGAAATGGCGTCTTTGGCGGCAATGCAGCTGTTACAAGTCCCCACTCTCTCATCATCATCATCATCGGTGCCATCAACAGTTCAGAGACCACCCTTTTTATCAACATTCTCGGTTGGAAGGAAATCCCAGTTGCACTCCAAACCAGCATCATCTTATTCATACGGGTTCGTAAGGAACAATGGTATTCTTAATACGCGCAGCTGGAACCATGCGACGGTTAAATCTCTGTCGAATTCCCCCTTAATATCTCCCCACGACAATTGGGGCATCTGGACTGCTCTTCTTGCAACCGGCGCTCTTGGTCTCTGGTAAGAACATTGCATCGATTTTTCTCTCTTTCATGGGACTACTTTTTGTTTTTAAGCAATCTTTTGCGAGAGTCCTTTTTTTTTTTTTTTTTAAACTCCCCACATAGGGAAATGGTAGTATTATTAAACGTGCTGAAGGACAGTTGAGATATTGCTTGCTGTGGGAATGAAGGTCGGAGAAGACCAAGGTTGGTAGCACGGTGAGCGCAGCATTGGTCAGCATCTTGATTGGGCTGGCAGCCAGCAATGCGGGAATTATTCCTTATGAAGCCCCCGCTTATTCGGTTGTCATCAAATTTCTGCTCCCATTGACCGTGCCATTGCTTCTATTCAGAGCAGATATGCAACAACTAATTCGCTCAACTGGGACTCTGCTTCTCGTTTTCTTGCTCGGATCAGGTCTCTTTCTCTTGCGCACTTCTGCCTGTTGTTTGGATCATGCAATAGATATACAGCATATAATATGAATTCATTATCTTAAAAGCAGAGCATCTTTCTTTTCTTTTTCCATTTCCTTTTTGGATGTGGCAGTGGCAACAATTGCTGGGACTTTAGTGGCATTCCTGTTGGTGCCCATGCGCTCCCTTGGTCCAGATAACTGGAAAATAGCTGCTGCTCTTATGGGCAGTTATATTGGTGGAGGCAAGTTGTCTTGAAACTGCACTGATTTCTCTGTGGTTTTGAACATGACTATCGACTTGATTTGTTACATGTCAATTGCGGTGGAGAAATGGTTAACGCTAATGTACCAAAGATGACTAACCTTTTGGTGACTTAAGTCTCAACTCTCAAGTAGTGCGCAATTTTCCCTGCCAAAAGAATTTGAAGCCAAATATATCTGCAGCTGTGAAATGCAATTTATGAAATATGAAACTGTTCAGTGTTACTTACTTTGCTCAAATAGTATCTCAAGCTATGCTTTGAAAAAAGTAGGGATTTCTTGTAAATTGAGATGTGCTGTTAGCAAAGCATCAAAAGGGCATGTATATGTGCACAAAATGGATCATCACGTTTAGTATTGTAGTAGGAGCATTTGCGGATGGTCAAGGAGAGTTTTAATACTACTGGTTCCAGGTCTAACGCTTTTTAAGATTAACATTCCTAATGTTTAAATGAATGGGAGGCATCTTTTCTGAAAAATCCACATTCCTTTTCTGCAATGGTAATTGAAGAGTACAGGTTGTCTAAAATTATTTGTGTGCAATGCCAGAATCTCAACTTCTGGCTGTTCTTATGGTAACATACAATCAATTCAGTCATCAACTAAAACAAGAAAAAGAATAAAGAAAGAAAAGGAATTAATGATTGGGGTGAAGTATGTAATGCAGTCAAAGGAAGCGCCTCTGTGTTTACATCTTGGATCTCTGTGTTCTTAATCAATTTCCTATGCATTTCTTTCTTCATCTTCAACAATAATGTCTTATTGTCATTCCTGTAGCCATCAACTATGTTGCAATCTCAGAGGCACTTGGCACTTCTTCCTCAATTGTAGCTGCTGGTGTTGCTGCTGATAATGTAATTTGTGCAGTATACTTTATTGTATTGTTTGGGTTGGCCTCCAAAATACCTTCAGAGACTTCATTTTTTAGTAATAGTAAGTAGTCTTTGGCTCTGTATTGCTAGTAATAGTAATTGTATTTGTTTAACTGTCAATCAATTTGCTCTACTGTGATTTTTTTTATTTTTTATTTTTTTAAACTTTCCTTTTGTCTTGATTCGTAACATTCTTTATCAAAACAGATTGTATTACATGGTGATTTATGTGATGAGGCTTGAGACTGGAAGACCTTATACTTACGTATAGTTTGATCTTAAAAGTGAACGAGTAGTTCTTTTTACAAAAAAAAACCTCTGTATGCTGACTGTTGCTACATTCCTCTGGATTTATCATCATCATATGAAGTGGAACCTCGTCATTTTCTATTCATTTCATATTTTCTCTAACCCAATATGATGTCCCCAACATCAATGCTAGAATGATTCTTTTTGTCACTGCTACTTTTGTGGCAGATGCTACTACAGATTTGCCGTCCGATTCTGCAAGCAAATTACCAGTGCTGCAGATGGGTACATCACTGGCTGTTTCCTTCGCTATATGCAAGGCTTCCACTTCTCTTACCAGATTTTTTGGAATTCAAAATTGTGATCTTCCTGTAATCACCACAATTGTTGTGATTTTAGCAACTTCTTTCCCTGGTTATTTTCGCCCCATCGCACCTACCGCTGATGCTATTGCTGTGGTCTTAATGCAGGTAAACATAAAGCTGCTCTAAGGAGTCTCCTTTTTCTTGCATACCTCTTTGGATTATTGCTTGAAACATTAACCAACCTATGAATGTCAATACTCCATTGAGAAATGCTCTTGGTTCTCTGGAAGGAGATGTAACTTCTAATATGAGCAACAAGTGTTCTTGAGCTCCACAATATTGAAAGAAGGGGAAACAAGCAGTCCTGCAAGTGTTTTTGTCATCTTGCCTTTGAATGACATAGTACTGCAAAGTCATTACTTTTTATTGAGACACGTTCTTCCTCGGTCACTTGATCCAACTTCCAGTGTACTTCATCCAGGGCTCAGTTTAAGGCCATTAAATGTGAAAAAACTCAAAAGCCCCATCCAAGTCATAAGCTCAATGAATTGCTTCATTTTGTGAGTAGGGTCAGATTTATTTAGTTCCATGTTGTGGATAATTAGTCCGCTGCTTCTGCGTAGTTGTTTAATCAATGACTCCTTTTTCTTTCTTTTAATTTTTATTTTTTCCCAATTGGGGTTAAACTGTGAACAGGTATTTTTTGCTGTTGTGGGCGCTGGAGGGAGCATATGGAATGTCATCAATACTGCTCCAAGCATTTTTTTGTTTGCATTTGTTCAAGTAACCGTCCATCTCATATTGATACTCGGACTAGGAAAACTATTTTGCGTCGATCTAAAGCTGTTGCTTCTGGCATCAAATGCTAATATTGGAGGTCCTACAACAGCATGTGGCATGGCCAAGGCCAAAGCATGGGACTCTCTGGTTGTTCCCGGGATTCTAGCAGGAATATTTGGAGTATCCATTGCAACATTTTTAGGAATTGGGTTTGGAATTCTAGTTCTTAAACACCTGTAACTTGTTTTCTCATGGCCAAGGCCAAACAAAGAATGAGACTCTTTGGTTGTTCCCCGGATTCTAGCGGGGAAATCCATTGAAACATTTTTAGGACTTGCGTTTGGAACTCTACTCGAAACACTTGTTTTCTCTGCGGCCTTTATATTAATTGTTTTCTATGGTACCTAAGCGCATCTGTAGTTTCAAATGCGATGGCAAAAAGCTCCCTCTCTTGTACGTTGCGCATTAAAATCAGATGCTGCACCATATCCAAGTCTTACCACAGGGATGGTCGACTTGCACTTTTTTGGCAGCTTCACTGCAGCAGATTGCACTTTTGTATTTTACAGTATGGTATGCATTATTGTACGCTGAAGGCAGCCGCCCCTAGAAACTTCCACAGGCTTAATATATATTAAAAAAAAAAAATCAAACATTCATATCCTACCTCCCATTACAATCTCCAGAGAGAGAGAGAGAGAGAGTTGGTGGGCCCTGACAAGCAAAAAATACCAAGGCCCCAGCGCATTAATCAAACAAGGAGAGCCGAGCACTTCAACCCATCAGCGAAATCAGATTTTTCAAATTTCCTCCACGAAAGAGAGGAAAAAAGAAGGGGAGGGAGGAAAAGGAAAAAACGCATTCAAAGGAATTGAATTTCTAACTAGCAGCCTTCACCCAAAGAGGAACAAGGCAGTTCGCGACACGCCATGTTCATTCTCTACCCGGTGATGGCCAAATACACCAGCCCGGAGACAGGCCGTAAACATAAACCTGAGCATTGTTATAACTTAACGACATCCCCCTTTAACACGCCTAGGTACATTACCTTCGGTCAGTACTTCGGACATTATGCTCATTATTAGAGTTTCCAGCGTCCAAATTATCTGTTGTAGCACATGTTAACTTAATTCCTCAAAATGCCAATAGAGTCAGAATTGTACCCTCAATGCATCATCCCAGACCTGTCATCGTGTCTCTTATCATCATCATTCTCCTCCAACTTACATCCCCTACCAAGACCAGCCGTATGAGGAAATCGTCCAGGCCGCATCATGGGTCTAAATGAATCATCTGACTTCAAGCGTCCAGATAAACCAATAGATTCCAATCTTTGGCTCTGTCTAAACACATTCAATGGTGATCTACGATGCCTCAAATGGCTATCTACAAAATTCCGATCATCAAGGCCCCTAAAATTACGCTGCGGTGAAAAGCGGCCTCTAGGCGGGGACATGAAACTCTCTCCATAATCAGCTGCAAAATTGGGCTTCTGAAATGGAGCCCTCATTCTATCCATTCTAGCTTCAGACCTGAAATCTGGTGACCTACTATGACGTCTTGCACCCAGGTTACGCTCCCTCTGTGGGTGCCATGCACGGGGAGAGCGTGTTCTGGATCTTGATCGTGAATCCCTGCGGGGTACAGATGCATGAACACCTTTAGTGGATGGGGCAAAAAAGCCCCGCTCTTTCCAGGATAAATAATGTGGCATGCGAACTGAAGATGCAGCATCATTATCCATGGGTTGGTGATATTCCCCCCGTGGGCCTCTACCAACACCGTCAGTGAAATTTCTGGAACCTCCCCTGTTTCTGTTGCTGCTGAATGCTGCCACTCTCCTCTGGCTACCAGGGTATTCATCCCTGTCAACTGGTGATCTTCTCCAACCAAGCGGCCTCTGCATGCTTTTTGAAGAATAGTTCACAGACTGCTTGTGATCGTGGGGATCTAATCCACCAAATTTGTCAACAGAGTCAGCAATCACACTTCTTGGCCTGGGCTGCCCTTGACCCTCAGGTCCACGATAACTAGACGGATAACGGCTTCTGGACTCCCAGTAAAACAAATGACCATCCCCTCCAATTCTTTCACGTTCGTGAACAGCTGATCTGTACCTCGTTGCAAATCTATCAGGACTGCTATCCCTCTCAGTTCGTGAAGAATAATTCATAGATTGCTTGTGATCATGGGAATTCACTCCACCAAACTTATCAACAGGATCATTAATAGAACTCCTCTGCCTGTTTGGTACCTGACCTTCATGACCACGATAACTAGACGGATAACGGCTTCTTGAGTCCCAGTAGACCAACTGATTATTCCCTCCATTTCGTTCACGTTCCTGAACAGCAGGTCTGTACCTTGTCACATATCTATCAGGACAGCCATCCCTGTTTTCTCGTGAATATGAACTTCCACTGTTCCGGGATCTAAGGCATGAGAACAGTCAGACAATCAATTCACAATAGAGGAAAATTAAGTGAAAGGAATATGACCAAGCAAATCAATCACCAATCCACACAGAAAAGTATACCAAAAATTTTCCAAACACCACTCAGCCAGAAAAAGAAAATGGAAAAAGAAATGTGATGCAGAACCATACCTCCCCTGCAGTGTATAAGCATTGTCCCTCTCCATTGCATCCAATGTTGAAGGCCCTTCAATACGTGATTGCAACTTCCCCCTGGTTGTCTTTGACCCAACTCCTGCATATGATCCTTTGACGTCAAGCCCATCCATGTGATCAGAAGTGCGACCCCGTCTACTACCATAATTTCTTTCCACAATCACATCTGTAGAAAGTTCTTCTGTAGTTCCAGATCCTTGATTGGACACTTTTTTGCCTGCAGTCTCAATCTTCTCTCTAATCTCCTTTGATTCTCCCCTTGAAGAACTTTTCACTGAAGTACTCCTCCTGGAATCAGTTTCTTGAGACTCTGCACCCAATAAACCATTCTTTTCTTTGCCTTGAGAACCTTCAGAACCAGCTTCAACTACTTTTGAGCTGGGACTATCACCAATATCAGAATCCTCACCAACTCTACCATCAGATTCATAGTCAAGACATTCATTCTCCCCATCCTCAAGTTCATTTTCCTCCCATGAGTATAATACTGAGCCCCTTAATTCTCCATCCTCGTAAGGAGAATCATAACCAGCTTGAAGCTCATCAATTTTATCTCTACCATCTATGCAACCAGGATCATCCTGTGAAACATCTGAATTGTGGCAATCATGCAAAATGGATCTCCCCTCACCTTCTTCATCACGAACATGAGGATCATCATCCTTGGAAGGGAGCTGCTTAAAACCCAGGCACCGTGCAGCATCAGTTCCCAAATCATTAGCGGCCAGAATTTTCCCATCTTGACCCTTGGCATCAGAAATTACAGTGGAATGACCTCCAACAGAGATGTCTGAGATAGATAAACCTTCACACTTGGATGATGGAAGTGTGTTCTCCCCGGAAATACTTTCCAAATTTTCAGCATCCAAAGTTTTACAGGTGCCTATACACTTTTCCAGCCCGAGGGCAATCCTGTTATCAGGCAATTCAGTTTTCTTTTCAGAGTCTTCCGGATCTCTCAGTTGACCATCATTCTCACCCCCAAACTTTTCCAAATCCGAAGCATCAGGTATAACTACATTTTGTTCAGAAGTAGTCGCTAATGAAGATGCATCTCTACAACTGTCAGCACCTGGAATCATAGTAGACACAGGACAAGATTTTATGTCTAAGTTTCCACCAGAAACTTCTGATGAATGACATGATTCAGACAATGGACAATTAGTAAAAGATCCGTTGCTACCGAGAACATGACTAGAAACCTTTTCATCAGCAAGAGAATACTTTACAGGTTCCATTGAATGTCCACTGAGGCTACTATAACTAGTTTGACAAAATTCTTCTGACCCATTTTCCTTCATTTTTGCAGTAGAAGACTGAGTAGCACTTTCAATGTGGTCCAGAGGCAGACAACTTTCAGAGCCACTTCCATTACTTATACAGTCCCTTTGAATTACACAACCTTCTCTGTCAAGTTTCTCCATGGGCATACCATCAATACAAGTATCATCACACTTGTACTGAGCGGAAGTATCCTCGTTAGGTTGCTCCCATGCATCCATCAAAGTATTGAGGTCCCAATGCCGTCTATCAATCTTCGAACTAGCAGATTTGCCTTCCTCATTTTCCTCTGAACTAGAAGGAGCACCATGAGAACTTTCCACAACTAATGAGCATCCCTCCTTATTATCCAGTAGTGAAGCATCTTTGTCCATTTGTTTCCCTGACTCTGAACAAGGGATACATTCTCTCACTGGCAAAGAGGAAGTAGAAGCATCAGATCTCTGTGGAAGTGAGGAAATTTCAACTGCATCCCCCTTACCTTCATAAGGATCGTCATCTATGTTGTTATTGCAGGCAGCAGCTGCAAGAAGAGCAATACCAGAGAAGTTATCTGAATTATAAAGCTCTCCACTTGTCTCCTCAGGAACTTTATCAGTCACAACTCCTTCATTAACCCCATTACCAACTCGAGCTGCAACAAACCCTCGCCTGTTTGTATAAGAGCCTGACGAACCATTGTGGTCTGAAAGATGTTCAAGGTCATCTGAATGTGAAGATGGAGTGCGCAATTGAGGTGATACTGACTGACCACTGTATAAAGAGGTCCGCAATGATGGAGATGGTGATCGTAGATAGTATCTCCTTTTCTTAATCGGCACGTACTCTGCTTTGTCAGGAAAGCATTGCCCAGTACCAGGTTCGCCAAACTGCATAAAAAACACGTCATTATGAAATAAAACATGAGATCACATGCTCTATCCTTGAACAGACAATATTAGGATAGAAAATTACATACTTTGTCAGAGTCAGATCCAGAAAAATCTCCAACCCTTTTAGGACTCTTATTGCCCAAGGTTACACGCCCATTGTTTCGTGCCACAGACTTTCTAGAGCGCTTCCCCTTCACAGTTTTCCAACTCAACTCACAATTGATTGAATTTGTAACTTCCAGACCCACAGTTCCAAGCATGCTTCTAGATAAGGGTCCTATTCCATCAACTAAGAATCTACCACCACAAGACTTGCAGGAAGCCCCTGCTAGCTGGTTTCTTTTTATACTAGATTCCAATGAAGAGGCTAAACTTCCTGGGCAAGTACAAATGCGTGTCTGCATTTGACAAGAGAACATTTCATTTGCTGAGAGAACCAAGTAAGAATCAAAACACACAATTACAATTAGTGGTTCTGTCAACTTTTCTATAGGCCAAGAATTCAACGTCAAACTAAGTTTAAATCCTTTAAAAAAAATCTTTTAACATAATAAAAATTAGTATTAGGCAATAAAAAGCCAACATTGCACATTGCACCTCCAACCTCTTAACAGCTTAAAGGTTCCCAGTTCCATTTAGGTCAAGTAATCGATCCAACACCTCGACCAAAGTTACATCATATATGCCTTTGTAACAGCACGATACATCACATTATGTCCAACAAACTTTCCTAAGGCAATGGGAAGAGCTCCCAGTAAAAGCTCAAAATGGACAAGATATAATGGCATGGCGGCACTGGAAACTCACCATCAGTTACCATCCAACATTGGTCTCATCCAGATATCAAACTTCTCCAGCAGAACCCAACTTCTAAAATATCAATATATTGGACTCCTGTTGAGTTTAAACAAATACATCAGAATTCAAAAAATAGAGCACTGCAAGTATAGAAAGCCACCAATACAAAATATATGAATAATTGCTGAAAGACCAGAAAGCTCATGCGCCTCAACGAGGAACCACCTATGGGAGCAGCAGTCACAATAAGTAGGAGACTTGCAACAAAATTCCATAAAATTAATTAAATATTTTCAAGGTAACTTGTGCTAATCTTTGAAGTCACAGTTTGTTTAATTCGAGGCACATAAATACGAGAAGATTTTATTCAATAACATCGACGATCATTAAAAACACATATTTCAGTTTGATAGAAATCAGAAAACCGCCGCTTCTTGCCAGCTTTGGAAGAACACGCTGCTTCTTGCCAACTTAAGAAGAACACTAATCTGTTATCTCATGGAATGCCACCCGCAGGGGAGATAAAAGAACTTTCATCATCATTCCAATCCCCAAAGCAGCAATCCACTGCTTGGAAGGAAACCCAACAAAACTGCTAACAACTTGATAAATAAGAACTAACTTGATATAGATCCCAAATTAAAAGCAGCAATTTATCAATCTTAGAGTGATCACAAGAACTACAAAACCATAGGGACAAGAGCAGCAAGTCAACACCACGACATGACATGGCTTTAATCTCACCAACTCTAACTAATTGTAGTTTCTCTGCATTTATTTAAGTCTACATTCCTTCAAACAGAACTGACTTCGAGAATATGCCTGGACTCAATAGACATGGACAGCATAAGCCTGATTGCCCTTACAGCAAACAATGCATTGGATCTGTCTGCATATCAGCAAGTATGTGCACATATTTCAGATCCACCAGACATCCAACCTAAATAGATTAAAAACCCCCAAAAATGCCATTCTTCTTCTATTAGAAGAAGAAAGAAAGATCCGATCGGGCAGGTCAAACTAAAATCTGGCAGTTATCAATTCAGCATCATCATTTGTCCTGACCAACCTTAGATTCAACTCTATTTTCATGCAGGGAACTTAGCTCTACCAGAACTTCTACAGGTGCTTGCGTATATCTCTAGCAAAAGAATCCACCAAAAGCCAAATTATTAGCCCAAAAATCAAAGGGGATCTTTTTGAAAAAAAAAAAAACCTAACTACCTCCGCAGCATTTTTCCTTGTTAAAAATCTCAAAATCACAATAAAACAAGTCGATGCACAGCCCCAGCGACGCCAACAAACAAATCGTTGCAGACTGCGGTGCAACACAGAGGTGCCAATTAAATCAAATTGCGTGTTTCCATAGAGTTGCGGGTCCTTAGGCAGATAGAATACGCATCTATAAAGGTAAACAGGCCTTGGTTCTTTTGTCAGGTTCCTGTTCTTGTCCCGATCTTCAATCTCGGAGCAGCTAGGTAAACCCTACACACATTTCTCTCCAGAAACAACAGATCTAGCAGTTGTCGCCGCAATCCACGTCCATGTAAAACCAATTTCTTCTCTGACGAAGCAATACAGCAAAACATCGAGCACAAAAACAAAAACGAGTGTAAAATCAATCAATAGCTAGGGTATTCAATACCTGCTTCTTCTTTAATCTTCTTCTTCACATAAATCGCCGCAAAATCGCCTAGTCCTCAGCCGATGCACCGATGTGCCAAAAGCAGAGATTAAATAATAATTGTATCAATCATCAACAAACTCCTCTCGTCGCGCTTCTTTTCACAAAAACCGAAGAGCAGAAAATAAAAATCGCTGCCGAGACTTTGTACAAAGATATAACTCCAAATACGAGATCTTTCCGACTGTCCAATTCCTCGCCGACGATGAAGGGAGGGTGGTAACGGCCAGATCTTGGCGGCAGAGAAGAAGAGAGCAGTAGGATTCCGGCTTCCGTATGTCACTTTCTCTTTCTTGTTCTTCCTTTTTTTTCTTTTTCAACCCCCGGTAGATGCTTTGTTTTCTTTCCGCTCCCGCAAGGCTTTTCCCAGCCTGTTCTTCCCGATGAGGTCTTCTGCGTGTATTTACCCGTTTCTCTGTGTGTTGTAGATGATGAGCTCTGAAGTGTGCGATCAACCACGTATTTATGGTCGATCGTGTCCCCAAACTGCCCCTCCAAATTTGATTTATTTATCGATTATGCCCTTCGATGCCCTACTCCCCCATTGGGACTGACATTCAGTCGCGGTCAACACCCCCGACCCGAGTAGCGGCGTTCTTTGCCCATGGATCTCATGTTGATGATTAGGTTTTTCTCTCTTTAAAAAATTTTTGGTGAGTTCTACGTTGATCCAACGACCGTCAGTTGATCCGTAACTAATTTTTGTTTTTCTTCTTTTTTGGCCTTTGATAATGGATCCATCCTGTGTTTGGATGGGAGATTATTTAAAAAATAATACTTAATAATTTCAAATAATTATACAATATGAGAAGAAAAAATATATTTAAAAAATAATTAAAATTTATGTTTATGATATAAATTAAATAATATTTTTAAAAAATTTGTATTCAAAAAATGCTAATCTTTTCTTTTTGACAAAGCAAATTATTATGATAAAGACGGACCCGAATAGGGGAAACAAAATACACATACAAAGTAACTGTAGTGTGTTTGGATTGTAAGTTATTTGAGATATTTTTACTGTAGCATTTTTTGTGATGTGAAGTATGTGAGATAAAAAGGTGTATTGGAAATTGTAATGGTGATGTAAGCAAATATATTTGGTCGAATAACTCACAATCCGAACACAGGTGTTTGATTTGTGCGAATGGTTATGAATTTTCCGCCAAAAAAGAAATGTTAAATACTTACTAATTGCTAAAGCTTATAGCAGGGAAAAGGCCAACATGTAGCATCGGAAGGGGAATGGATAATCGTTGAGAAGTCAATTAACGACAATTTAAGTAAGCAAAAAGAAGAAGAAGAAGAAGAATACAAGTGATCAAAACAGATGCACGAAGTAAAGGGAACTGCTGTACTATAGATTGGGCATGTGTGGCCGTCGATTGAAGCCGAGAGTTGAATTTCCATTGCGCCCAAAAATAAAAAATAAAATAAAATTCATCATCTCAACGAATTGCAGAATATTTATTTATTTAGTAGTAGTAACTAGTAAACGTACCAATTTACCATTCAACTCAACGGTGTACCCCTGAGGAATGATTTTTGAAGCTCGACTCAGAAAATCTATTTTGGTGCCTAATACTAGCAAATTTATTAGATTAAAGACACAATTATCAACAGCGTTCTTCTAAGTTGGGAATAACATAAAAGGGTGTGGTGACCGGACGTGGATGCACAACAATTTTAAGCAAGTAAATTGATCATCCATCGTAGAAATGTAGTTTAGGTTGAGCTAAACTTTGAAGAAACTAAAGATTTTCTATACAGGGAAATCGTATAGGAAGTATGGAAATCTGTCAGTATTTAAGAAAGGAAAAGAGAGAAGATGGGTGGAGCTTTGAAACTGAGTCGAATACTTGGCATTTAAGCTCCGTTCGTATATTCTATGAACAAAATTTGAGTTTTGGTTGAATATTAAACGAGTTACAAAAATTGCTTAAATTCAATTAGTTTATTTGTATAAATATTCGAATTCATTCAACTAAATGAGCTTGAATTTGAATTTGAAGATGATTTAATTATATTTTTTTTTTAAAAAAACAATACATTATTTAGAATAAGTTTAATCATATTTCTTGGTTTTAAAAAAACAAATAATACTAACTTATGTGTAAATACTTTTTTTAGTAAAATATAATATATTTTAATAATATTAAATATATTTATTTTCTCTCTCTCTCTCTCTCTCTCTCTCTTGTTTTCTCTAAATATTGAAGCAAAGCCTCTCCTTTTCTTTTTCTTTTTTTTCCCTCGGTTTGGTTGGAGGGTTTTAGACCCTAATATTACACGGCAACTAGCGTAGAGGCGTAAGCGAAGCCGCTCTCTGATGGATGCTTTTGACGGTATCAAGTGAGAAGAGAAGACTCACAGAAGGCAGAAAGGAATAAAGGCGTTTGCTTTTCGGTGCTGGCTTTCAACCTTTCCTTTCTTTCTTGGCTCATTATTAGTCAGTAGTCATTCTTCCGCGTTTGCTTTAGTTCCACGGAGGGAACCCAAGTAAAATAGAGTCCTATAATTACGATTGACGCCACCCGCGGACCCCACACAACGATGTGAGCACTGCAGAAACCACCAAAACAAAAAATAAAACGAAACCCTCTCTAATCAGGCCTTCCCCTCCCCAGAGGCGACAGACAGGACCCCACGCCCACCCAAAAGTCAAAGATGCCAATTTCGATGACTCGTCACTTCCAACTTCCAACTCCGTCCTGCCTTCTTTCGTTCTTTCTTTCTTTTGCCCTTTTCTCATGAGAAGGGATTCTGTCGTCCTCTCCTGCCTTCCCACTTCCCCTTGTATCAGTTTGCTTCCCTGCCATCGAAATCCAAATATTATTATAACAACGACAAAGTTGTTTCGGCCCATATAACAACAAGAAGGAGGAGGGCGTGCCGGTGCAGCCCTAGACTTGGAGACTTCAGTTCGGTTAGATAATCCAATTTAAATGCGCTTAATAACCAAATATAGAACATTTAAATTAATTAATATTAAATTTTTTATACAAAACTCACTCTAAAAAATAAATAATAAAATATTCAATTCATCACTTAATGTGACGATATACACTCATATATATATATATATATATATATTAAATTTAATACCTAATAATTTAATAACTCAGCGACTTTATATTTTGGATTTTAGTTTTATCGGACCGTATCTTTACTAACTTGCGAACAAGGGAGCGAAAAAAGAATCTCCGCTTGGGCCTGAATGGAGCATCACATAACTGGGGCTGTGGGTGCCACGTCAGAGGTTATTGGTGGAACAAATTTCACGGTAGTCGTAACAATAAACATTTACAAGCAAAGGAGGGATCTGGTGGACAATCATTGAAAAGCAGGAGCGTGACTTCAAGGGCGACCATCATGATAAAAACCAGGCCTCCATTGCAGATCTTGAACTGAGCCGGCCCAATCACCAGACACAACAGTACCCATTCCTACTTCCCCAAATGCAGGGGAAGCATTCATTTGGCATATAGGTGTAAATCTACATTAATCATTAGGCAACTAATTAGTGGATACACCAATTCACAAAACAATAGTACAACTCCGTACCATGTGAAAGAATAAGGCAAACTCCGCACTCCCGAAGAATGCAACACGAATTCTTTAGTAAGACTTGGCGAAAATCGCCACTTCTTCTGCCGGACTGCCTGTCATCAGGCATGATTTTGTCCCCTGGGGCTGTTCGAAAGGAAAGCATCTAATGGTAGCCCCCGTCTCTTCTTTGATCTTCAGCTCATCTTCGTCCCTGAACAAATGAAGTCGTTGCATTCAAAATGCAAACCAGTGATGAAGTCGTTGCAAAAGATTTGAGGACAGAACGCTAAACGCATAATTCAAAATTTAAGAATTATTAAAGGATTACCTAGCTGACCAAGGACCCCTAGCCCATTTGCCTTCAGATATTGCTTCTTTAAGCTCATCATAAGAGCTAACGTCCACAATATTACTATTAAAAAATATATATATATATAAATCTGTCAGCTAAGAATACTGAAGGAGTATTTGGTATAAGTCTGGCCAAGGACACAAAGGAGTATTTGGTATAAGTAACTCTAATTTGCCAAGAATGCAAGAGTCAACTGCTGGTGACATCTATTGCCACAAAATAGATATGCACAATTAAGTGTATTGCAGTACCACCCTTGACTTCAGCCAAACACTGACAAGCAAGGAGGATGGCAAGATCATTGTTGGTTTCTCTTTAGTCAAGATTCAGCTACACAAGCACATGCAGATACCATGACCGCAAATATATAGGAATCTTAAGTCAGTTCATCGTGTACCACCATCATGCAGCAGAATATGTTATTACGAGTGACACAAGCTCATAAAGTAGATGCCACATACCAATCTCGAAAGGAGGTTGCCCTCTCCAGTAGACAACTCTGAATCTCATCCAGCAACCCTTTAACATAAGCAACCAAAATTGAACAATCCATTGATATTCCGAAAACTTTTCCTTGTTTTCCAGGAATATCTCTTCTCGAAATGACCACAGTCCCACTAGACACATCACGAGGTCCAATCTCAATTCTTAAAGGTACTCCCTGCAGAAAAGCTAGGTAAATTTCAAAGTAATTTCAAAGCACAATCGTATCACATTCAACTGTAAAATAGCATTTCTTGAGATCCACACACATAACTTCCAAATATGGAATTGTTTTTAGCAACAGTAGACGTTTCAAAATTGAAACTTCATTCCCTTCCAGAAAACAAAGCCAACAATCACTTGAATAGCTCTAGTTGAGCTGGCCTTCAATAGATACCACTTGACTTGTTAATTATTCAAGCCAGTCTTCAAAAAGCTTTGGTTGAGCAAATCACAATTGGAACCTAATCACTCAAGTTGATTTTTTTTTTCAAACTAATTTTAAACAATACCTCTAGATGCTCAAGCGAAGTAAGGTGACAAGTCTTAAAAGTAACCAAGTTTGGTGAGATATATCAGAATTAACCATCATAAATCTTAAAGCTCCAAAGACATTAGTTACTTTTTGCCCTATGCTTGTTTGTTTAGATGTAGTCCCGCACTGATTAACATTCCAAGAAAAAAATCATTTGAAATGTTTATGTGGCCATGCATTTGGAATTTTCCTCTCCTGAATTTCTCTAATTTTTGTTCATTCTTTGGTGGGAGAAGTCCGATGGCAAGCTAGATACCAGGCAAGATACAAAACTTTACAGAAGCATGCAAACCTTCATCTCCCAAAAGTTATACTTCCATCCAGGTGTTCTCTGATCAGAGTCATCAACCTTAACCTTTATTCCAGCTGCTTGCAGTGTGTCTTTCACTGATGATGTAGCATTAAAAACTCCAGTTCTCTCATCTGCTTTCTTCCATATTGGGACAATCACAACCTGAAAGCAGTCAATAATAAGAGCTATTCCATCTCAAGAAAGACAATTTTTAACACACATAGC